TGGTGAGCTTGCGGTACAACTCTCTCATTTGAGTTATTTTCCATGATTTGAGTATATTTGGATTGTTGCTTGTTGGTGCGCGGATTGTACGGGTTGCGGCTTTAGATTGTATTGATGTGTCATGTCACTAGAGCTGTCATGGTGGATGAGATGAGGGCATTTAGATCTAGAAGGAATACTATCGGAGTTGATTTCAGCATGTTGGAAGGATAATATCGAGATTCGGCTTAGAAATTTACTATGGTCCTTGCCGAAGGAGAGGGAGCTCCATGACTGGTTGATCTGAGGAATGGCTATGACTTGCTACGTGTTTCTTTACTCATTGGCAGTATATGAAAGTGTTGGAGTGTTATTTCATAAGAGGTTTATTATCGGAATTGGGTTGTTTGGGCAGCTGCTGTGATGAGAAGTTATCGCTATGAGTGTTTGAGTTGTGTAGTATATCATGTGATTTCCATCTTGAATTGTGGTTATGGCTTGATTTAGGCGTTTTCAGACTTATTCGGTGTGTAGATGTGAGATTCTGATCTTATAGATAATTTCGGAAGTGGGAATTTGGTTCTAACGTTATGGGCTAGGATGGATTGTGAAATTTCAGATATATTGTTCTATCGGACCTATATGAGATAGGGTGATGTGGGGTCACCCCCGGTATGTGCATGGTAAGGTTATATAACGATTTGTTGGCTTTTGGAACAACTCTGGGCACGTTCGAGGACGAACGTATTTTAAGTGGGGGAGGATGTAACGACCCGACCGGTCATTTTGAGCATTTGCACTTCGCTCGCCAGTTCTCAGGCATGACTAGCCCCGTATGATGTATTACGACTTATGTAAATCGTCGGTTTTGGTTTTCAGGTTAATCGAAATAGATATGGAAGGATGATTCAGCTTGAAGCTTTAAATTTGAAAGGTTTGACTCAGTCTTGACTTTTTAGTATTCGATCTCAGATTTGGATTCTTATGATTTGGTTAGATTCGTTAGGTGATTTGGGGCTTAGGAGCGTGATCGAAAAGTATTTTGGGGGTCCGTGGTAGATTTAGGCTTGAATTGGCGAAACTGGAATTTTGGCGTTTTCCGATTGGCAGTGGTAATTTTGATATTTGGGTCGGAATGGGATTCCAGAAATTAGTGTAGGTCCATTGTGTCAATTGTGACGTGTGTGTATAATTCAGGTCATTCGGATGAGGTTTGATAGACTTTTGATCGTTTACGGAATTCGGAAGTTTTGGAATCTTAGGCTTGAATCCGAGGGTGATTTAGTGTTTCGGTGTTGTTTTGAGTGTTCTGAGGGTTGGTATAAGTTTGAATAGTGGTATATGACTAGTTCGTATTTTCGGTTGAGGTCCCGAGGGCCTCGGGATGAATTCGGAAGGTTGTAGGAAAGTTTGGAATTGGAGATGAGCAGCTTCAGCTGTTGTTTCTGTCATAACAGCACCTGCGGATTGGGGACCGCAGGTGCGAGCCGCAGAAGCGGAAGGTAGACCGCAGAAGTGGCAAGGATCGCAGGAGCGAGGTCTGGACCGCATCTGCGAGCCCGCAGGTGCGAGACCTGGGTCGCAGGTGCGGCGTCTGAGGATTTTAATGAAAAACCGCCGATGCGGTTAAGTTGACCGCAGGTGCGTTAATTTGTCCGCAAGTGCGGAAATGCCTGGGCAGAAAGTATAAAAGGCCATCTTCGCGATTTTCAGCTTATTTCCTCCATTTTTGAGATGGGTTTAGAACTTTTTGAGTGGATTTGAAGAGGGAATCAAGGGGTAATGCTTGGAGGTAAGATTTTTGAACTCAATACTCGATTCTATGGTGATTTCTGACTGATTAGGCATGAAATTATTGGAAACTAAGGGTTATAATTTAGAATTTGGGGCTTGAAATTGGAAAGTATTCATTGGGGATTTGAGGGGCCATTTGAGGTCCGATTTTGACGCTCTTGGTATGTATAGACTCGTGGGAGGATATGGATTCTAGTGATATAATTTTTATCGAATTTCAAGACGTGGGCCCGGGGGTCTGGTTTGGCCAATTTCGGGATTTTCGATGTAATTTGAATATTTTTGCGTGGGCTTTGTTCTTTTAGCCTATTTTGATGTTATGATTCTGATTTTGGTTAGATTCGGGGCGAGTTGAGGCCGATCCGAGAGGCAAAGGCATCGCGGGCTAGAGTTTGGACCGGTTTGAGGTAAGTAATGATTGTAAATGTTATCTTGAGGGTATGAAACCCCGTATTTCACATCGTTGTGCTACTTTGAGGCGACGCACACGCTAGATGTCGAGCGTGGGGTCATGCACCGCTTGGGATTGTGGCTTGGTCCATCCCGTACGACTATTAAGTCACGTATTTGATTGGAAACTGTTTGATATTATTATATTTTGGAAAGGATTACTATGTTTAGGGCTGAATGCCGTGTTTGGGCCTTGTGCCGACTGTTTGGACCCTTAGGGGCTTTTTACTACTATTTCCTCACTATTATTGGTAATATTTCCACTCAGTCATGCTATGCTTTCATTGATTTCATAACTCGGTTTTTATTTACTCCTTTCGATTTTATAAATGATATTTTGAGCCGAGTACCTGTTTTACTGTTAGCCCGAGAGGCTTGAGTGAGTTCTGACTGAGTGAGGCCGAGGGCCTGTGTTGTGAGGATATCATGGGATCGAGCTGCACGCCGCAGCAGGTTGTACTGATTTGTGATATATGAGAGGCCGAGGGCCTGATTTATTATGCCACGAGATGGCTTGTGATAGCGCTTGGGCTGTAGGAGCCCCTCCGGAGTCTGTACACCCCCAGTGAGCGCGGGTACCCAGTGAGAGTGATGTGATATTGCCCGAGGGGCTGATTACGAGCGATTGTGAGGTAGCCCGAGGGGCTGGTTCTGTTGATATTATGCCGAAGGTGCGGTTTATGGTACATGTTTTGCCCGAGGGGCTGTTTACGTTTCTATCATTTTGACTCACTGTTTCTTCACTTATTTGAAACTATTGAAAGATGTTTTAAAAGAAAAGGGTTTTACTGAAACTGAGTTTGTTTTTACGAGATAGTTGATTTCTGGACTGTTTTGGAAATGTGCTGTATTTGCTGTAGTGCTATGACGTTAGATTATCTGTTTTCTTAATGCTCAGCTGCTTTTACTTTTATTACTTACTGAGTTGGCGTACTCACATTACTCCCTGCACCTTGTGTGCAGATCTAGGAGTCTCGGGACGCGATAGTGAGTGCTGATCAGTCTTCCAGCAGGTCTCCGGAGTTGGCTAGGTAGCTGCTTGGCGTTCGCAGTCCTGCACTTCTCCCTCTTACCTTACTTAGATTGTCTGAGTATTTTATTTTCGGACTATGTTAGCCTTTCTTGTGCTCAGACGGGTTTGTAGTTGCTCATGACTGGTGACACCCGAATGTCGGACTTGTGTTATTTTCTTCCGCACTGGTTATTGAACTTCTATTATGGTATTTTAGTTAAGTAATGGCTAAAAATGACTTTTTTTTATGATTTTCTGGTTGGTTATGGGTTTGTATCGGCTGGCCTAGTTTCACGATAGGCGCTATTACAACCGGGTCAGTTTTTGGGTCGTCATATCTCCTTTCTAACCTTGTAAGAGGGAATTAACCGCATAGGTGAATTAAATAAATGTGTGTACCTATTTGTGGGGGCTACGTACGTATGAGGTGACGAGAGTCCGGACGTAGATACTAATATGCTATTGTCCGGGTAGTTTAGGACCCATATCATGCTTCATTTGAAATGTTTGCGCCCTTACTTGCTAATTTAATTACTTGAGTCAAGTCGGAAATTTCATAAAAGAAGTGTAAAAGGTTAATTCACTTACTCGATGATTTAATGGAATACTTGATTGTAAATGTGTAATTTGTGTTTTCTTTGAAAATAATTGCTATATGTGGATCGGGCGGAGCGCCTCGGTAGTAAACAGATGCATCTATGGTTCACGTCGTTCGACACTCCGGCAGTGTACAATTTATATATTATGTTGGAACGGGCCGTATAACCTCGGCATAATTTTCGCATAATAATTATTTGGAACTCTCCATGATTGATACTGCTTAAATGTCTTGAAGTGTAAGATGTTAAATGATATAACTGAAATTGAAAGTATATTTGTGAAAGACAAACTTATCATTTTCTGTTATTGAGCTTTCGGTCCATGCTTAGTATAACACTTTAATTATATTATTGTTAGCTCATAGTAAGTGTCAAAGTAGACCCCTCATCACTACTTCTTCGAGGTTAGACTGGATACTTACTGGTTGTTGTTTATGTACTCATACTACACTTCTGTACTTAATTGTACAGGATCTGAGGTAGGTGCATCTAGTTTTCCCTCCGGTGCGTGTAGTTAATCCCCACCTCGAGACTTCACGGCAAGCTGCTTTCCGAGCCGTTCTGCAGCAACTGGAGTCTCCCTTATGTTTTACTTTTCTGTCTATTTCCTTTCAACCAGTAGGCTAGCATTCTTTTGTATATTCTACTAGATTGCCCACACACTTGTGACACCAGGTCTTGGCACACACACAATAGTAGACTTATGATTTTGGGTTTCCTTACATGATATCGATTTGTACTTATTGCTTCCGTTTATTTATGTTACACTTGCGAATTTCTAAATCTTTTTAACAACTAAGGGAATGTTACTTCTTAATAATTTATTTAAACGGAAAATCACTAGTTGATCAGTGTTGTCTTGCCTAACGCCGGTGTTGGGCGCCATCACGGTCTATAATATTATTGGGTCGTGACAGTAATAAATAAATAATGGATAAATTTCTTTGTTTTATCTTCTTAAAATAGTTCTTTTTCACCCTCTTCTCTAGATAGATTGATTAGAATTCTTCTCATAAATTTCTCTTATATTACAACTGGGAAGGGATGCCCGTGCAATGCACGGGCCAAACATGGAAGCTTTGAATTAGATAATTTAGTTTCTTTTTGGATATGGTTTTTTTTAAAATGTAAGGTATTTCATACACATAAAAGTAGCACTAAGACTCTGTTGTAAAGTGCAATAACAACAAAGAGTACATAAGTACATCCGAGAAAAGTATAACCCTGACTAATCTTGTAATATTTTTAACATCTCTAAGAATTGATTCGGCCTCATTTTCATGTTCTACTCTTCAAAACATCTTATCGTATTCCGTTGGTTCTTTCTCCTGGCTCTCTCTTCATCATTCTAGCACTTCCAACAACTTAGTAGTATGCAGTATTCAACTGGTTCTTTTTCCCTGCCAGCCCTTTTCTATTCCAAAAATGATCCACCACCATAAATGAGAGGAATGAATGAACATGAACAGGAGAAAAAGTTCAAACATGATCAATACCTAATCAGTCATTTGACGTACTTATTAGGTATTCAACTAATTTTTCTTTCACAAGTATTCTGGTGCTAATAGCGATACAACTCCACTTTTAATCAGAAAGAGAAACTAACGACCTAAACTGTTTACACATATCTATATAATGTGTGCAAAAGATGACATAAGAACACTGCATGTCTCTACTCTTATACAGTTCAAAAAAGTATGTCTACTATCATAGATATATGTGAAACGCAACACCCAGAATATGTAGGTAATATTTGCACCTCTAGGAACATAAACACACACCTTAATCCCATGTGCAAAAGCTAAAGTCCCAGCTTAGTAGTTAGCCTCCATCCTCCTGAAAAACACAGCATAATAGAAGTCTTCTATTGTCTTCAAAAAGCAGGCAGCACAATCAACCTTGCGGCCATGGCCATGTATAGATGTAAGGTCAAATAGAGGATAAAGAGGAGTACCTTTATTTTCTGGTAATCTACTAATAGATCCGCTTCTTCCCACACAAAAAGATGTAAACTATATCTGTAGTAACATAAAATATATAACTCTTACAACAGTACTTTTCAACATATTATATGTGCCAACAATCTATTAAACATCATGTTGCATTATTAAATATTACTTATGGGTTGATAATTGATATAACATTCTTATTGATCATCTTATTCATTGTTTGTTTGAAAACTGAAAAAGAGAGTCAAGAGAATTTGGGTTCAAGCACATTAGTAGGAATATATGCTACTCCATTAATTCCATTAAGATCTGCATTACTCGTTACCTGATCAAAATTGTTGCTTAAGGTATATTCGCAATCTCATGTTCTTCCTTGCATTGTTAGTGTGTTCTTAGTCTATGAGTAAAATCTCTTGTAGATACTCTGTATACCACTATTTCCATCTTTCTATATCTTCTTATCTGTTCAGCACCTTGTTTAGCTTGGCTTACAAAATATATCTCCTAATTTGTAGGTTGGCTATTATGATCTGGTTGATGCTTCACTCGCATCATAATTTTCCCTTCTAATTTTCTTCTCACGACCTATGACCTACGATCTCTTTTAGTACGGCAACTTCATCACAAGAGGGTTGGGGTTGAAGTGAACTATCCAGTAGAATTGATAGGAGCAGTCGCAGCCATCTTACCTGCAAGTTGTTCTTGTCTCTCCAGCTCTATCAATTGTGAATTACATGTTAAACTGATTTGGCCTGGCCACTAATTTCATCTTCTTTCTTATCTTCTTTTTTCTTGTTTTGTGCTGTGGTTGCAGCTCATTAGATATTTGCTCTGTTGCTTCCTTTGATGAACCCTTGCAACAACTTCTAAATATACCACATCATTCTTAAACTTTCTTTTTTCTTTTCCGAGAAGAGATTAATTTGAAGGGCTGAGCAGTTTCAAAATATACACTATATAGTTTCCATCTTCTTATGAAACATAGACATGAGTAGGAGCTGTGCGAAAAGGACAGACAAACACATAGGAAGCTGCATGATAAAGATTCCAAAAGCAGACATTTATTCTAATGCTATCTGCAACTATATCAACTATCGAGATATATATATATATAGAGAGAGAGAGAGATCCTTTCTGACCTGTTTGGATTAAATTTATCTTCATTTTTCATGATGAAGTATTTGAACTAAACTTATGCATGACTCAAATCATACATAAATTTCATTCATTAAAACTCTTAGTTTCCCTCTATTTTTATCAATGTAGATCTATTTTCTGAATTCTGACATATTTTTATATAATTTACCTTACATTACTAAATAAATAAATCCCGAAGAGACACATCCGAATGTCCAGCCGATGTTAAAGGAGTCTTTTTGAGACACTCTTTAATGCGAGTCTTGTAAATCTTGAACATATATGAAGTGGCTGTTTAGGAAGATTAGTACTTCATATATATAAACCAGCATTTTTGGAGTCCAATTAGTTGATAACCATTTTGCATTAGAATCAAAATGTATGGTCACAGATCAAAAGAAAGAAAGAATAAAAAAAGTGAGATTAGCTCATATAAGGTGAAAATACAAATTAGACCAGAACACCATATAACATAGGGGTCACTTAATAGTTCGTAGCACATTTTGATTCTTTTTGCATTGGAAGATGCTTATAGGTTTATGTTACTGTGAGATAAAATTATAATTAAATCAGTCTTGTTTGAAACTTTTGGCTCCTTTATTTCTTGGTATTTCTCAGTGACATTGCTCAACATTATTTAACTCCATTTCCCCCCCACCCCCCCCACCCCCCCCCCCCCCCAACAAAAGATGTGCTTAATACACTGTGCACCACGGCCCAATTACCTTCTGCGTCATGCATTATCTTCCACTCACCCTTCTGTTTATTATTCTTTTTTGAATTATTTCGTGCATCTCCTTTTTACACCTACTGAACAGTATATTGAAAACAACAGATTTTTTTATAGAGCAATAGAAGAGACCCCAAATCTTCAAGTAACAATTTGGATACTTCAGATTATTGATGAGACCATTTAATTAAGCGTAGGTTAATTGTTACAAAAGTCAAAAGAATATAACAAACAGTAACTAAAATGATACACAATTACATGTATCTAAGGATCAATTTCTGAACATGAATGTGCGAATAATAGACGCATGGAGTAATAATTATTGAATTCCAGAACTAACAAGTTACACAAAAGTAAGTAAAAGTAACATTAAACAAATCCAAACAGAAAAAGATAGCCCTGTCATGTTTACCCAGAAAGTTCAAGGCTACTAGAAATGATGGAAATAAAACTGTAAAACAACATGCATAGAAAAAAAATAGAAATCCAAAAGTACAAAGAAAAAGAAAATATGAATAAATAATATAAACTTACATGCATTATATAATAAGCTTATAGTTTGACATTCTGACTGAATGGGAAGTTCAAGTTCAGGCAAACAAAGAAGAGCAAAGGAGGTACACAAACACGCACATTCCAATTTCCAACCACACCAAGAATAAAAGTAGGGGAAGATAGAAATAGAACGTTACAGGAAAAGTTTACGGAAGAAGAAGAAGGTGATACAAGGGAACTGAATAAAAAAGAAGATCAGTTTAATGTGACTAACATAGATCTTATTGAAAGAAAATAATACTAATGTAACTCTTATATTCAAATAGAATAGCACATTTTTTTAAGGCAAGCACATTTAAAGAATGTAACTTCTTGTTTCCCACAATTGAGAAAACACGAACATGGGAACTGTGAACTTACCGTAAAAAGGAGTATTGAGAGAATGAGACTAAGAAGATAACCTGCCAAAGCAAAATTTACGAGTAAGTTTATAGAGAAAGGTTAATGGGCCGAGTAGTTAAAATTCAGCAATTGACTACAATGAAAAAGCCAGTTGGATGTATATTAACAAGCAAGGATTACTATCAGACTCTTACCAATTTTCAGCAAAATAATAGTAACATGTAAGGATTTACTACTATATTCTTACCAATTTCGGCTAAAATAATGAATCCATGTGAAAATGAGGCACAAAGATACACATGCTTTACACTACTTAGACAGAATTAAAGCAACAAAAATACCCAAAAGAAGGGGACTGCTAACAAATGACCATACAAACTCCCATAAGCAACAAAATGTATGCCATAAAGAAAGAGACAAAAGAGAAACCCGACAGAATGAAGAAATTGGCAAATGCCAAACCAAGCAGTGGGAGGGCGAAAGAGATCAATGGTGAGAGAGAAGAAGCAAAAAAAAATAGTAGAACAGAAAGAGCTCTCCGCCTCTCATTTGCTATCTTACTAGTGAACACCAAAATAATCACAAAATTTGATTTGAGCACCACCCAAAGATCAAGTAGATCCTATGTTGAAGTTCTTCGCCTGTTTCTTCCCATTGAAACTCCTAGAATCGGATGCACAGTAGTAGACCATTCAATTATTTGGTCCATCTCTAGAAGAAAAGTTTCCGTCTCAAATAACCAATTTCAAGAGGCGTAACCACAGAAGACATCCGAGGCGGACATGGAACAACAAAGGAATAAAAAGCTGAGAAATTTGAGAAAAAGAGAGGGGGAATGGAACAAAGGTAAGATAGAAATTAAAGTAAATTGGATGGGTGGTCTGTAACAAAATTCTGAAAACCAAACAAGAGTAAAATAGATTTCTTTGAGCACAAAATTATATAGATAGTACTCAAAGGAAGATAAACTAAAGCAAGTGATTACAATCTTAGGAAAGACTATTTTTCCCATCCAAATAGCCAATCATGGGTGAACAAAGGATGAAAAAAAGAAAAAAAAAGAGAGAAGATGTAACGAGCCCGATTGGTTGTTTTTCTTCTAGAATCCCGTTCTCTTAAATATGACTTTCCGTACTTACTTTTACTGATTTATGACTTGTGGGGATGGTTGGTTCGGGATTTGGAAGAGTTTGGGTGATATCGGAAAAATTGGTTCCTTAAGGTTGGCTTAAAAGGCCAAGTTTGACTTCGGGCAACGTTTTGAGTAAACAACCTCCGGAATAAGGATTTAAAGGCTCCAACAGTTTCTTTATGATGATTTCGAACTTGGGCCGTGAATGTCGGATCAGGTTTGGATGACCCGGGAGCGTTTTGGCGCCTAATAGTGAAAGTTGATTCCTAAAGGATTTTGAAGTTCTTTTAAATTTGGTTTGGAGCGGTTTTTTATTGATATCTGCGGACGTCTGCTCCAGCACGATTTCAACATCCCAGATCGAGAACAGTTTCTATAATGTCATTTAAGACTCAGCACGCAAAATTTGGTGTCAATCCGAGTAGTATAAGTGTGTTTCGTCACATTGGAAGTAGCATTCGAAAGCACTTGAAGTTCATAAGTTTGATTCAATTGGTTTTAGGCTGTGATTCTTTTGATTTAGCGTTGTTTTGGGTGTTCCGAGGGTTCGAGCGAGTCCTTTTATCATTCCAAAACTTGTCGGTATGTTCGGTGGCGGGGCCAAGGGCCCTGAGCGACAATCGAACGAGGCTCGAGTTAGTTGAAAATAGAGAAGGAGCTGAGCACCAGGCATCTGTCATAAAACCGCAACCTGCAGTCGGCACCGCAGGTGCGAGCCCGCAGAAGCGGCTGAGCCATGCAGATGCGACCATAGGTGAACTAGCCATAAACCGCTAGAAAGCGGCCTCTTTCCGCAGAAGTGGAACGACAGAAGCGGTTGGCTTCTCACAGATGCGGCCAATAGAGATCCACAGAAGGACGCCTTTTCCGCAGAAGCGGTTGGGCGCAGTGCGGTGCCCAGGACCGCAGATGCGGAAACCACTGAAGGTAGAGACCTTCATTTATTGCGGGAGTTAGCCCATTTTTGCCTCATTTCCACTCATTGGTTGGCGTGATAGGAGCTCTTGAGAGGGGATTTTGCACCAAGCTTTTTGGAGGTTGTATTCCTACTATTTGAGTTAAATACTTGGATTTTTTGGGTAGATTAACATGTAAAGATTAGTGAAAATCATGGGATTACGAGTAAAACCTAGGGTTTTGATAAAAACAGATTTAACCACGAATTCGTTAATGGAATGAAGTAAAATTATATCTTCTTGATCCTTAGGTTATGGGTAACAACTTTCTTCTTCGAAATTTTCAGGATCGGACACGTGGGCCGGGGATGAATTTTAGGAACTTGCATTTACGGTTGGAAAATTACTTTAATAGCTAGAATATGAACTCTTTGAGTATGTATTGACTAGTTCATACGTCATTTGAATAGTTTTGAATCGTTCGGCTGCGATTTGAGTGTTTTGAGCGCATTCTTGAATTTGGAAGTAAGCTTCGGGCAAATCTCTTTTCCTAACCTTGTAAGAGGGAATTGTCCTCATAGGTGATTAATTGGTTATGTGCTTCTATTTGGGGGCTACGTACGCACGAGTGAACGAGAGTCCGTGCGTAGACCACTAATATCTTAAGTCCCGGGTATTCTAGGACGAAAATATGCTTTACTCCTGCCATAACTAGCAACTTGGTTGTCAATTTGATTGGATCATATCATTTTGGAAAAATGAATTTCTAAAAAAGTTAAAACATCATTTTCTTGACGCGTTAAAGAGAAATTAACATTAC